CCAGCCTGGCTGACATGGTGAAACCCCGTCTCTCCTAAAAATACAAGAAAAAATTTAACAGAGCATGGTGACAGATGTCTGTAATCCCAGCTACTCAGAGGCTGAGGGAGGAGAATCACCTGAACCCGGGAGGCTGAGGTTGCAGTGAGCCGAGATCGCACCATTGCACTCCAGTCTGGGCAACAAGAATGAAACTCCATCCCAAAAAAACAAAAGCACTAACAAAAAACATTGGCCGGGCTTGTTGGCTCGCACCTGTAATCCCAGCTACTTGGGAGGCTGAGGCAGGAGAACTGCTTGAACCCGGGAGGCAGAGGTTGCAGTGAGCCGAGATCACGCCACTGCACTCCAGCCTGGGTGACAGAGTGAGGCTCTGTCTCAAAATAAATAAATAAATTAATTAATTAAAAGCTTCAGAAATAAAAATACTATTTTTTTTAAACCTATGCAATAAAATACTGCGACAATGCACCACCTCTCCTTTGTTTTCTTCCATTCAGGAAAGGTCTCCGGTGCCAAAGATGTGCCGTCAGTTTCTCAGAGTTTTTGTTTCAGCATCTCCTACATCATCAGTGAGAAAATCAAAGGAGGCTGCTATATGTCTCAGGCCGTAGTTAAGGTGAGGCAAAAATGCCTTTTATTTAAGGCCAATGTCTTTTAAACAAACGTCTTGCCAGGAGATATTAACCCATTTTTTTTTTTTTATTTCAAATGCGATTTTAGAAAAGAATCAAAAGGAATATGGTCATTTCCTCAATCTTGGGAATACACTGGCCAAAAAAAAAAAAAAAACTCTGTCTGGTATGCAAAGGTGATTTATAGACCCTTTTGGTCAATAAAGCCAAAAGGTTTTGTTGGTAGGTTTTTATCAACAACAAGCAAAACAAAACATATTGTACTTGCAGGTTTCACAAACACTCAAAGAAAGAGTCGTCAGAACTGGAATTACAGCTTGTTTTCCTTCCCACCCTCTCCACCCAGGGAAATAAAATTTCCCACCACAACACTCTCGCTTGGCTAATTCTCAAGTCTGAAGAGGAAGATACTTGACGTCAGCAGGTCAGCTCAAGGCCTCTTGATATGTGTCTGTTTCTGATTTGTTTTTGTGTTGTTTTGTGGTGTGTGCGTGTGTGTGTTTAAAACAAAACATAAAACCTCAATACAAAAACCAGGAAACAGATTTTTGCAACTCAGTTACGGCCCCCAAAATAGCTCATGGAAGAAGCTAACGGCGTGAACAGAAAGTCTGTGATGTGCGTAGGAAATCTGACTCACTGCCGAAGAGAGAAAACCCTGCTATTTCTCACCCAAACGGCAGGAAATGGTTTGATTATAGTGTCCTTCAGAGAACAGCAAAGCCCTGAGAATAATGCAGAAGTGAGTCTCTTCCTCCTGGAGACAGTATGTTCTGGGCTAATCTTGGCACACCACCAGGCTACCGGCCAGGGAAGACACAAAAGACCTTGGTATATCCTTGATGTGACAATGATGAAGCTACATCAGTGAGGACAGGCCACGTGGAGGATTTTAGGGAAATTCAAGGACTCGGTCCTTATTATGTTTTCTCGTTCTGAAGTCAAGCACAGAAAGCTTAGAACTGGGGTCCACAATGCCAGATGGCGCGGTGGCTCACACCTGCAATCCCAGCACTTTGAGAGACCGAGGCAGGTGGACCACTTGAGGTTGGGAGTTTGAGACCAGCCTGACCAACATGGCAAAATGCTGTCTCTATTAAAAATACAAAAATTGGCCAGGCGCGGTAGCTCACATCTGTAATCCCAGCACTTTGGGAGGCTGAGACGGGAAGATCACGAGGTCAGGAGATCGAGACCATCCTGGTTAACATGGTGAAACCCCATCTCTACTAAAAATACAAAAAAATTAGCCTGGCGTGGTGACGGGCGCCTGTAGTCCCAGCTACGTGCAAGGCTGAGGCAGGAGAATGGCGTGAACCCGGGAGGTGGAGCTTGCAGTGAGCCGAGATTGCACCACTGCACTCCAACCTGGGTGACAGAGCAAGACTCCGTCTCAAAAAAAAAAAAAATTAGCCAGGCATGATGGCAGACACCTGCAGTCCCAGCTGCTTGGGAGGCTGAGGCAGGACAATCACTTGAACCCAGGAGGCAGAGGTTGCAGTGAGCCAGGTTCGTGCCACTGCACTCCGGCTTGGGCGACAGAACAAGACTCCATCTCAAAAAAAAAAAAAAAAGAAAGAATGGTGGGCACAATGCCAGAAGTATATACTATCTGGCCCTTTAGAGAAAAAGGCAGGCAACTCCTGCTCCCAAGCCCAGGACCAAAACAGGGTGCAAAAGTAGCATCTGAGAGCAGAGACCTCACTCATAGCCAATTAACCCTGGGTTTGCATACAGTTTTAACAGGAGGCATCATCACAACCAACCCCACGTTCCTTCTCCTCTCGGCTGCCCCCGGACCCACATCCAGAACTCACTTGCTGGAATTCATCGTGTACCCGGAGGGACACTCAGGGATGCACTTGTTGTTATGAATGACGTACTGGTGGCAGCCCTGCCTCCGCGAGTTCTTGCATTTGTGGTGCAGGTCCTGGCAGAAGCTGAAGTTCACACAGCGCCAGTCCTGGAAGTGGTAGTACGGGGGCGGGCAGGTCTCCACACACCTGCCGTCCAGGTAGAAGTTGCGGCAGGCCACGCACTTGGTGGGGTCGTCGGGCTCGGAACAGTTGCCCAGGCACTCGCTGTGGCAACAGAGGCCTTCGGCAGTGCAGCCGTGTGACTTACAGATGGTTGGGCAAACTGGAGAGAGAGAGGGAAGAAAATAAATGAATAAATAAAACAGTTGGTCAATGGCTTTGTCCAATTCCTGTCTGCATATGCAGCAATTCTGGATCAGACAGTGAGAGCCAACCAAATACTAACAATAAAAGCGGCATTTCCACATCATTACCCACATGCCAGACACATCTATTAACTGGTTTAAGCCTCCAAACCATTGGTGTGCTTGTCAATGTTTAACAACTGCCTGAGGGAGGGGGACAGGAGGGCCCAGATCTATATAGCATTTGCCAATTTCCATGGTGTAAATATTCCTACCAGTGGTGGATTTCAGGCCACCCACATGAAGTTACTAAACATACAGCTGGCAAGCGATACATAGTAGCATTCCTCTAAATAGTATTTATAAGTATATACAAAATGTATCTACTATTGACACAAAAGTAGTAAATAACCTCAACAGCACAGATAATAGGAAAACGTC